CACACAAAAAATTCACATGAATGTTCAAAACAGCACTATTTATAATAGTGAAAGAGTAGCAAAATTCCAACTAATAAATAGATAAACAAAATATGGCCTATCTATACCATGGAATATTATGTTATTTGACAGTAAAAAGAAGGGAATATAATAAATTAGAGGCCCAGTGCATGAAATTCTAGCACCTGGGTTGGGGGCAGTCCCTCAGCCCGGCCTGTGCCCTCTCATAGTCCGGGAGCCCTCGGAAGGTGTTCGACTGATGGCTTAGGCCTGCTCCTCATGGGTGGTCAGTGCGCTCCCCATGGGCCTAAACCAGCAGTTGGACATCCTTAGCACTGCCGCAGAGGTGGGAGAGGCTCCTGCCACCATCACTGTGCTCGCCAGCTGTGAGCCTGGCTCCTGGCTGAACGTTGCTCCCCCTGTGGCAGTGCACTGACCACCAGGGGACAGCTCCTGCATTGAGCATCTAACCCCTGGTGGTCAGTGTGCATCAAGTGACTGGTCGTTATGCCATTTGGTCGATTTGCATATTAGCCTTTTATTATGTAGGATGTTACTACATGGATGAATCTTGAAAACATCATGTTGTGTGAAAGATCCAGTCACAGAAAGGCACATGTTACATGAGTTAATTGATATGAAATGCTTAGAATAGTCCAGTTTATAGATCAGATAATACTGATAAAACTTGTCTCCTTTCTTAATGGTTGCTTAGGGTTGAGTGGTGGGGTGAGGTTGGACTGGGCATTGACTATGCGAGACATGGTGATTCCTTTAGTGGGGGACAAAAAAATGTTCTAAAATTAGATTTTGATAATAGTTGCATAATCTTATAAATACAAAAGAAAGAAACAAACAAAAATCCCAACAATGAATTCTACACTGCAAGTGGTGACTTGTGTGATATATGAGTTATATCTCAGGAAAGTTGTTTAAAAAATAGTTATGATGCAAACATTTATGTTAATTGGTGTTCACTGCCATATTAAGAGGAATCTCAGATAAAGTTTATTATAATAGACAATAATTGCAAAGCTTTATAATTTAAAAATCACAAAACATTTTGTATTTATGATGTAAATTAACTCTCAAAGTTACACCATGAGGCAGTTTTTTTTTAATTATTATCCCATTTTTAGATTAGAAATTTCAGGCTCAGGAACTGTTATTTTTTTAAAAAATATTATTGATCATAGGAAGAAAGGAGGAGGGAGAGATAGAAACATTAATAATGAGAGAGAATCATTGATAAGCTGTCTCCTGCATGCCCCACACTTGCGATCGAGCCTGCAACCCAGGCATGTGCTCTGATCTGGAATCCAACCATGACTTCCTGGTTCATAAATCAATGCTCAAACCCTGAGCAACACTGGCTGGGTGGAAGTATTCTTTACTCAGTCACTCTTGGCATAGTTGAGACCAGGCCTTATATTTTCTGATTTTAAATTCTGTGGTGTTCTCACTATATCAAACCCCCTATCCTGTGATGATTATCTAGGAAGAGTAGAGGATATGAAAGTGGGTGCTGAAGGCCTCTTTTCTTTTATATCTGATAAAAAGTAAAATATGAAATATTTTCCTCCCATAGACAGATGCTGCTGCACTTCTCTTTGGTTCTTTGGGTATTCTCATGGACACTTCCATGTGGGAGTGAGCACTTAATAAGCACCATTTCTTAAAAGTATAAAAATATCATTTTAGGGATCCTTTCTTTCTATCAGGCCACAGTGGGGCCTCAATTCCTTGAACAATGGGTATTTCCGTTACTATATATGATTCCTTCATATAGGTATTGTAAATTAAAGTAGACCATAAAACTCACCTTGTTTGAACTTCTTAACATATAACATGCCTTCTATCTTCCCACAGGTCACTGGTAATATTTCAGAGTGAAAATTCGCATTTTCTTCTTTGTCCTTTCTTGACCCTAAAAAAGAATATTCTTCAGTCTATTTCATTTTACAATTGTACATGTAAAACTTCCTCCCATGTTGGGTTTGTTTCTATAAAAACTTAGAAAATTTTAATCCACAGATCTCCAGAGTTTCAAAATCTTTCTTTCAGTGGCATTTTTGATACATAACCAGAGATTTTACCTCTCAAATCTCACACCAAACAGAATGCTTTACCAGAGATACCAGGCATCAATAAAATTGTCTTTCCCACCTTGGCCAGTGTCCTTCAGTGGTAGAGTGTTGGCCTGTGCACTGAAAGGTCTCAGGTTTGATTCCTGGTCAAGGGCACATACCTGGGTTGCAGGTTCATCCAGGCCGCAGTTGTGGTACTCGAGGGAGGCAACAAATCAATTTGTCTCCCTAACATCAATGTTTCTATCTATCTCTCTCTGCCTCCCCCTCCCTCCTTTCTACTCTCTCTAAAAATCAATAAAAAAAATATCCTTGTGTAAGGATTAACGGCACCAACAAAAAAAAACTGTCTTAACTCCCAATCCAGTCAGCCCCCTTGATTCTTACATGACAATGAAACATACAGGTGCTATCATGTTCTGCAGGAAGCTCCGCAGCTATGCTCTTCCACTGCAGCTAGGTAGCTGGAGACAAAGTCAAACACTGTGCATGCAGCTCCTGTTTGAGCTCTGACTCAGTTGCAGAGAGGATAATGATGGGGTAACTTAAGGGAGATGTGTCTGCCTGATATTTGTGTTCTATTGTTTTACCTGATTTCTTCTCCACATCAGCTCTCTCCAAAGCTAAAAGTGGAGCTCAGGTAACTTTAGAGCAATCTTCAAATTGCATGGCTAGCTGGACTATTGCTGTCTGACAATGGTGTGTTCTTTATCAAAAGCTACGTCCAATGCTCTGAGGTCTAACTCTATGACCTCGTCTCCTCCTGTCCACACACCTCTCTATTATGGCTCTTTTCAAACTTCTCTAGGAAGAAAACATAATTAAAAACCTAAAAATTAACATTAAATGAGACAAAATATTCACAATATACATTTTCAAAATTCAACATGTAATATATTAACATACCTATTCTCAGACAGCATGGTTAAAAAATAACCAACATAGCAGCAACACTGGTAAGACAGATACCAGGCATTTGTAGAAGAGCAACAAATGACCAATAACCAGTGAGAAATGCTCAACTACACTAAAAAAATTAGAATAATGCAAATTAAAACAGGAATGAAATAAAAGTATCTACTGTTAAATAGACAAAATGTGTGCTTGATATACTGATTAAAATAAGGGAAATGTTACAGTAGGAATAGATTAAATCAGATAGATAATATAATTCTAATTATGTTAATACCTGGGCAGAAAAAAATCTGAGAAGATATCCAACACAGTCCGCAAAGTTCATAGATTTTAAAATGGAAAAGCAACCAAATGTGAGCATTTAAAAACATATGAATTGCTGATTTGAAAGATGTAAAGTAATCATATAAAAGTAAAATATTATCTCTCTCTCTCTTTTTTTAATCTTAGGAAAGGTGGTAGTTTTCTGTTGTGGCTGTAATAAATTCCCAAAAACTTTGTAACCTAAAGCAACACAGGTTTTTATCTTCCAGTTCTAAAGGTCTGACTAGAATCTCACTGGCCTAAAAATCAAGGTGCCCACAGGGCTTTGTTCTTTTCTGGAGGCTATAGTAAGAAAAAAAATCTTTTTTTTTTGCTGTTTTTTGTTTTACCTTTTCCAGCTCTAAGTGTTGCCCACATTTCTTGACTCATTGCCTTCTGCTTCCATCTTCAAACACAGCGACTTTACATCTCTGATCATCATTCCATAGACACAAAGCCCTCTCTGCATATCAGGAGAGTTTTTCTGATTTTAAGCATCTACATGATTTGACTGGGGCCACCCAGATTATCCAGGATAATCGCCCCTTATTATGCTTTTAACCCCAT